ATCCGACCAAAGCCAGGGGCCTGGAACTCCGTCAGGATCTCCCAAGTGGCAGGGATCCCAGCACTTTGGCCATGTTCTGCCACTTCCCAGGTACATTTTCAGGGAGTGGGAGTTGAATTGGAAGTGGAGCAGCCATGACTCAAATGGCTGATGTAGGATGCCTGGATCACAAATGGCAGTTAAGCCGCTGTGCTACAACACATGTAAATGATTTACTCATTAGAGTTATTAAAAATATATATAAATACACACACATACACAGAGTAGTCCTAACGTTGGCATAATAGCTTACTTCATGGAGAATTCCAGCAATTTTCTCAGAAAGGCCAAGAAAAAGGCAAGGGTATCCACTAATTTCACTATTATTTCAAAATATTTTGGAGGTATTAGTTGGTTCATCAGATTATTATAAACAAAAGAGCTATAAGAATTGGAGTAAAAGGTCTGAGATTGTCTCTTTCCACACATAATATCTCATAATGTATTTGAAAAATACAAGAAAATCAATGAAAACAGTAACATAAATAACAAAATTCAATGAGCCAGTAGACAATCAAAATACAAAAATCAGAAGTCTTTTCATATGCAAACAACAGCTACTTAGATGACATAACACAAAATTAGTTCATTTGTATTTGTAGCAAAAAGAAAATTTATTGAATAAACTTAACAAGAAGTATATAAAATCTATTTGAAGAAACATTTAAGTATTCCTTGAAGATACAAAAATAGATTAAGTTTGGAGATTTTTCTTGTCTTTGCATATAGCATGAGTAAATACTTTAAAGCCATCCATTGTCCTCATCTTAATAACATAATTTTAGTAAAAGACCAATAAAAATAGCAAAGATGATATATGGGAGATGCTAAGCAGATTTTGAAGTTTATTATGGGAAAATAAAAACTAACACAGCTTTGAAATCAGATGGAAATAAGGGATACTTAACCACACCAAATATTTTGAACAATTTTATTGAAATGTAATTGATCAAAAAAAAAATACTCTTTCGATAGCATCACTGTAATCGATGGAATAGAAGTAGATGTATTCCTCATCTTCACAAGTTTCCTTGTACCTCTCCTCTCTAGTTTTGTCTCTCTTTTTTTGGTGGTAGAACAGGTAACATGAGCTCTACTCTTTACTAAATGCTTTCTCTAAATATAATACAAATTTTTTATTAGAACACTGTGATATTGCTCCATGAATAGAGAGAACATCAGAAATCAATTAAGAGAATAGAAAACTCACAAACAAAAGGCATATGAAAATTCAATAAAGAAAAGTGTAGCTTCTCACCTATTGTCAGGATGTGAAAGAGAGCAAGAAAGAAGAGAAAAATAGTGAGGATTTGTGGGAAGGACACAAGCAGTATGCCCCAAGTGCGCAAACGTGTCAGGAATGTCATAATTTTGACATTAACAAAAGCCAAGATATTGGGTTGGGTGTTTGGGCTTGCAGTTGAGGTACCAGTTAAAACATCAGTATCCAGCACTGAAGTCCCTGAATTTGAGTCTCAGCACCAGTACTAGTTCTGGCTTCCTGCTAATGTGTACTGTGGAAGGCAGCAGTTGATGGTTCAAATGCTTACATCTTTGTCATCCATGTGAGAGACCTGGATTCAATTCTCGGCTTTCAGCTTTGATTTTGCCCAACCCTAGCTGATGCTGGCATTCAGGGAGTAAGCTATCACACGGAAACATTCTCCTCCAAGCTCTCTCTAAGAGATTTGGCATTAATGAATTATAATGTGCAGAAAGTAAAAAGACTATGGGTTACCAAAATAAATGAATATATATATAGATAGATGGATAGATCATAGATAGATAGATAGATAGATAGATAGATAGATAGATATAGATATATTCAAGTGTTAAAATGTTTATGTAAGATTCCCTTCTAAAATCTAGAAGGGAGCTTGGGATAATCAAGTTATCAAATGTAATTTATGTTGACAAAAAATATCAATGGATGTTAAACCACTGGGTAGTAAGTTTTTGGGAACAGGATATTCTTATAGTCTTAAAAACTTATCCTACAGATTAATTTTGATAGCTGATCAATAGAAATAAAATAGAAATCTGGCACGCATCACCTTTGCCAAGTGATTAAGCTGACCATCATTAATAATTTCACAAAGTCATATTATATATTTCCTTATAAGATGCAATGAAATACACGAGATGACCTCTGTAGAGTTTTTCTCAATCTCACAATGATCACATCATCAGATAGATTCCAAGTGTAACATTGAAAATAAGTGACAATGATATGTAATCTATGAGCATCTGATTAGATTTTAAGACATTGGAAAGATTTGAACCTGGACACAATACAAATCATACTTTAGAGCCATAAAAAATTTCTTGCGTATGGAAAAAACTTTGTGGTTGTATAACAGGATATCCTTGGTATAATGAAATTTTGGAAGATACTTCTTGAGTGCTTTTTATCTAAAGCACTCAAGTTTTATCTTTACTTTCTACCACTAAGAAATAAAGGTATTGTAATTTCATACTACCTTTATATATTATACCTATTCATCTTTACACTGAAAATATCTCTGCTTTAAGCCATTGAAAGGGAGAAAATAAATGTTAATATAAAATACATTTGTGGGTGAGACAAAAATCTTTTAATAAAATATAGTATGAATTATTATTAATCTACCATCCAGTGACTGTTGGCTAGCCTTCTGAAATACTGCTATATTTTCAGGCATTTCAAATATTGTTTTTGAAAAGTACACCATAGACATTGTTAATGAACAACTGAAACAGTGCAAATAGGTAAACCTAAGACATCTTCACCACGCTTACATGAATGAAATATGAGAAGTTGCAAAACTCAGTCACCTGCACATAATCAGAAAAGCACCCAAGAACTACAGTTTTCTGTTCTTGTGTTGCCCACGCACTGTGATCCATCCTGGCCAAGAAGGCTGACACTGACCTCTGGGTGTGCATGTGACTGCTTAGGAGCAAATCCAACAAACTCCAGGTGGCTGGCACGGTGCTGCAAGACAGAGAGGGAGACCTCTCTTTTTTTCCAAGAACACATTTTATAAGTATTTTGTTTTTCTTTGCCCATAAGTGTTTGTGCACATGGCACAATTTAAATAGGATTTGCTATTGTGGCAAAATACAACAACGAAAAAGCCTTATCTTTTTCTCTCATGAGAAATGTGTAAGATATAGTACAGTTGAAAGGAAATATCTGTGATTGCAGCATCTATTGATGAATAACAGTGGTGAGTGTCCTAGCATTCAAGTAGCAGGTTAGGACATTGCAGCCTTATCAGAGTACCCACATTCCACATCCAACTCCGGCTCCTGACACCTGCTTTTGCTAGTACTGGGATGGAGGGATAATGGGTCAAGCAGGTGACTTCCTGCCTCTACAGTGGGAGACATGGATAATGTTACTGCTTCTTTTCCTCTGGCCTGAGGCCAACCATTGCAGCCACTTGTGGAGAAAACCAGTGGATGCTACTGAATTGAGAATAATGAGCAGAGACCCGACGCCACTATTTATCTCTGTAAGCTACAGGTGTTGATCAGAAGAACCTGGAAGTTATTGAATATCAGTTTAATTTACGATTGCATAATGATACTGATACTGAGTAGTGCAATTATGAGTGGCTTTCATTATTTTATTTTACTTTTCTGTTTCCTAAATTATTCACAATAGCTATTAGTTTAAAGTTAGATGTGTTTATGCTTTTATCTTTGACTACTTTTAGGACTGAATTAATAAGCATTTATTAATTTATTATTTTCACATAATATATTATTTATATATAACTATATGTAATTATGTATCTATCATACTTAATAACTTAATTAAATATCATTTATTAATCACCTTTACTGTATAATTATTGATATGATTTTATAACTCACAAATATAATGTCATATGCATACTCAATAACGTAATTATCAATATAATTTACTATAAGGTTGTGTATTATTTATGAATTATCTATATGCATAATTGTTTTATGTGAATTACATGTGCTTTGTTATATGATTATATATTAAATTATAGATAAATATTTACTATACTTATATAACTTAACTGATTCTCATTTATTAATTCACCTTGCAATCCGCACCAGCAGTTATGTGCTGCATAGTGATGTTTAAGTGCATAATAGACCAGCAAATTTTATAATGGTGATTTCATTGCATTATGCTATGCTGAATTTAGGTTAAGTTAAATGTAACTTAACTGTAACAAGCATGCTGAGGCAGGTCCTTCAGCAGGTGTCCAGGAGAAGACACTGGTCAGCAGCGATGACAGCTCCCTGTAGACTACTGTCCTTGAAGATATTCTAAGGCGTGCAGGTGCAGAGTGGTGGTAGTGACTGAGGATCCTCACCCTGGGCAAACCAAGGCTGATGTGTGAATCTGTATCCTAGTTCAACACAAAAAAAAATTAAAGTAAAAAGAGCAAATTTTAAAGACTTATGTTTTTATAGAGAAAGAAGAGAGACAAAGGGAGAGCTCTTCCATCCACAGATACACTGCCGAAATATCTGAAATGGCCTGGCTTGGCCAGGCTGAATTCAGGATCCAGGAAGTTCTTCTGGGTCTCCTACGTGGGTGCACGGTACAAGCACTTGGGCCATCCTCTGCCGCCTTGCCAGGCAAATTGGCAAGGATCTGGATTGGAAGTGGATCAGCCAAGACAAACTGGCTCCCCTATGGGATGCTGGCACTGCAGGCTGCACCTTTATTCATTATGCCACAATGCCAAAACTGAAAGAAATTAAGTAGAAAAAAGTCCATGGAATGAAAGTATAAAGAAAATATACTTTTGTACAGTTGTATAATATGTTTATGCCATAAGCACAAACTTCTTATGAAAGAATAAAAAGGTTTGAAAAGTTTAAAGTTTGTGAAATAAAACGGATAGTAAGATAAAGTTAATTATTATTGGAGAATTTTTAAATTGCTGAAGAATGTCTAGATAAATGCATACCCTAAGATGCTAGCATGTATGAGGATTACAGAGCACAGTGGTGGCTCGGCCTTCACATTTGCTCACCGCTCATTCATGAATCCGTCCACAGAAACCTACAACCTGCAGTCCTCATTCACGGTAAGTGTTCATTCTCCTCCCAGGTGTAGGAGGAGGCAGTGCAGAACCTAACAGAAGAGCCTACCACAGCTAATGCTTCACCTTGTAAACGCTGGAATACCGTACGGACACAGGTTCACGTCCAGGCTGAACCAGCTCCCTGCTTGTGGCCTGGGAAAGCAGTAAAGAATGTCCCAAAGTGTTGGGACCCAGCACCCACTTGGGAGACCCAAAAGCAGCTCCTGGCTCCTGGCTTTGGATCAGTTCAGCTCCAGCCATTGTGTCGATTTGAGAAGTTAACCAGTGGATGGGGGCTCTTTCTCTCTGTCCTTCTCTGTAAATCTTATCTGCCTTTCCAATTAAAAAAAAAAAAATCTTAAAAAAAAAAAAAACAACTCAATCCGTGCATCCCACAAGGGAAGCAAGAATGTTAGTGAAGCATGTGATACCTCCCAGAGTACACATTAGCAGGAAGCTAGAATCAGAAGCGGAGCTAAGATTCAAACCCAGACACTCCAGTATGGCATGCAAATATATCCAGTTGTACCTTACAAGCTGCTCTGAATGGCCACCTACTAATTAGTTCAGAAGTTTTTTAAAGATTTATTTTTATTGCAAAGTCAGATATGTATACAGAGAGGAGGAGAGACAGTGAGGAAGATCTTCTGTCCGATGATTCATTCCCCAAGTAAGTGACCACAATGGCCAGTGCTGCGCCGATCCGAAGCCAGGAGCCAGGAACTTCCTCCATGTCTTGACAGGGCTGCAGGGTTCCAAAACTTTGGGCTGTCCTCGACTGCCACCCCAGGCCACAAGCAGGGAGGTGAAGGGGAAGCAGGGCTGCTGGGACTAGAACCAGGACCCATATAGGATCCTAGCTCGTTCAAGGCTAGAACTTCAGCCACTAGGCCACAGCGTCCGAACCAGTTCAGACTTTTTTTTTTTAACTTTATAGGATAAAAAGGAATTACAGTGTCCTGAATTGACTGAAAACTACTAATAAGTAGTTGGAAATTAGAAAAGTAACTTGACTCTCCTCCCGGAATTACTTTGATTCTCATAAACAATGTGATCATATTAGTTATAATTACACCTGTGTCTGAATTTTTCCTGCTGTTTGCCTCACTAACAGCTTAACAGCAACAGAGCCTGCTAGTTGCCCAGATTCTTTCTGTGTTATCTGGGTGCATTCCCTTACTTGAGCGGTTTGTGTGTGGTTTCTTTTCCATAGGCCACTGTGCTATGCATGAGATGAACTTTTGGATATGATATCCATCTGTTTGCATCAGGGTACATTTAGCAGAATGCAGTCCCCCACAATCTAGCTGTCTTTCAGCACCTGTTGGCAGAGACCCAACCAACATGATGCCACCCAGAAGAAAGTGACACACTTATCTAATCAGATTCTCGTTTCTTGTGTATTTGCATGAAAGAGAGAATCTGTTGCGTGACAGAAATTTTGCAAGAAGAATCCAAGAGAAAGAGACTGGAAGGGCGTATTCCTAGCATGGAAGATTATTGTAGTGGCTCAACAATGCCACAATATGCTTAACTATCGAGTTACTGTGGAGAATTAAACAGCTGCTAGGATAGTTTCCTTAATTTTGAAATATTTTCTTTTATGTGCAACAAAAACGTGGGTTTCCTTTCATCTGAATCTGAAGGTGTTTAATAAATATATTAAAGTTTGTAATACAAGATACTGGTTCTACAACTAACATTTACACATTTTGCAACATGTGCTGTAGTTATAGAGATGAGAAGTGGGCTGATGCATTCTTAAATTCTTAATGGGGACGGACATAATCTTGCTACAGGGGAGCTTCTCCTGTCAGGCTCTCTGCATGGCATCTGTACTGAGTGGCAGTATCCTTTAAGATTAGTGACTCCTAATCTTGGATCCTCAGAAAGGCTGCCGAGGCTCTGGGAAAACATGGCAACCATGCACAATTTTGGTGTGTTTTTCAGAATTCGTTGAATTTCTATGTACAATCCATACGTTATGTTAGATATCCAAAACAAGGTGCCAAACAGGGTTAAAAATAACACTAATTTTACAGATAAAGACACAGAAAAATTTGGCCAAAATTAGAGAAGCTTTCATTGCTAAAGTTGAGATCCTTTTCTCTTATTAATTTTTTTTTTTTTAAATCTGGAGGAGGAGTGGCATAGCAAGTTAAACGGTTCTGCCTGCACTGCTAGTCCCAGCTGCTCCCCGTCCAGTCCTGCTACCTCTGAGGCAGCTGTGAAAGCACTGAGGGATGACCCAAGGCCTTGGGCCTCTGTGCCCACATGGACGCCCAGAAGTCCCTGGCTCTTGGCTCCGGGCTTTTCTGGTCATATAGAACTATGTGAAATGACCTCTGTTTCTCTGTCTCTTTCCACCCCCGCCCTCCCTGCCATGCCTTGACTCTGTAAGTCTGCCTTTCAAATAAATAAAAACAGGTCTTTTAAAATGTTTAGAAAATCTAATGAAAGAGAAATCACTCATGATGTCAGCATGTAAGGACAACACGATGCATACCTCTGTTTCTGGGGCAGGCATTGTGGTGCAGCATGTTTAGCTTCTTCTTGTAACACTTCTATCCTATGTCAGTTCCTGGAAACAAGTCCTGCCTTGGTACTTCCAGCTTCCTGCTAGTATGTGCCCCGTGAGACACCATGTGATGGCTCAAGGCATTGGGCTGCTGCCCCCTCATCTGGGAGAACCAAATGGAGTAAATGGCTCTTGGCTTCTACCTGGCTGGGATCTGATGAGTGAGCCAAATGAAGACAAATGATCTCTCCTCTCTGTCTTCCTTTTCCTCTTCTCCCTTTATCACTCTGCCTTTCAAATAAATAAGTAAACTTTTGAAAGATTTCTGTCCCTAGAACAAATATGTGTCTTAGGTTCAAAACCACACTTTAAGAAATGTGGGTTGATATATTGCTTTCTAACAGGCCTATGCTAAATTCCATGAATAATAATCAGTTTCCAACCATCCCTGTTTCGTTTTTAGAACAAATTATTCAGTGTTTAAAGGTATCCCAATTAGCTTGGTAGGAGGACAGTAGTGACCCATGGTTTTAGTGTGTATTTCTTTATTGTTCATGAAACAATTGTCACATTGATTCATTTTAATTGGATATTTGTTTCCTTCCCATTTAGCTCAGGAACCCAGATCTCCAAGCTGTCCATCAAATTCCTACTTAAAAATCCCACCTGAGGGTTCGGGAGAACCTGAGACTTCTCTCACAAACTGGACTAGTTCCTAGGTTTGCATACACCCTTGCATAATAATCATCAGAGAGGTTTGTTAAAATGCAGATCCCAGGAGCGGAGGGAGTGCAGCTTGGGAACCCTTGAATGCTGTGTGGACAGACTGACTTTGAATGTGGAAATTATAGACCATTGTAACACTTACTGAAAGCAAAACCTGGGCTAGCTTTTCCTCTACGAGGTAGCTTAGCCTGAGTAATCATACCAGAATATTTACTTTCTAGTTGAGATTCAACAAACTTAAAATAAACTGCAATTCATTTAATGACCTGCTTTGCAAAAAAAAAAAAAAAAAAAAAAAGTCTAAAATTTCTGAGCTTCTTTCTCTTCATCTATGCAGTTTAATGTAATCTTAGGCCAAGTGTTTATTTTGAAGGGTGAGAGCCATAAAATAGTCGGTTTATTCTCTTTCTCTAATGATGTAGTGCATGATTATTTTGTCTTATTTTACACCTTCATTTGTATTACCCAGGAAATCTGAAACAGCTTTGGCAAAATGTCAACACTTGATAATTTTTGGATGATTGATTACTATGTCATTGTTTAGCAAATATTTTTTTATTTAGTGTGATATTCAGTGTGACCTGAATTGTGAATAATTATAGCAGAGATTTCCTAGAAAAACTCTATCAATTTTAATGAGGCAATGAATCTTTCAACTTATACTCATTGAGTACTATGTGCCAGGAGCCATGCCAGGGCACTGCACACACATACAGTTGTATATGAATATACATACACTTATATGTATTTATATAGATATGAAATCCAGCTTATTCTTATGTAAAATGGTGTATCACATACTTTATACCTTTTAAGCAATTAACTCAGAGAGACATTCCTTTGTGGCATTATTGAATGCAACAAGAGAAATTCAGGAGATAAATAGGATGAGATGCTCTAAGCTCCTGCAGAGCAGGTGAATATGAGCTTTTCCTTTTGGACTGCTCAGCCATGCCAATATGGACAGTTGCAGGAGAGTCAGCTGGGGCCTGGCGCTGGTTTCTTTCAGGTACACCAACTCTGTGGGTCTTCAGGGTTGTCACCTGCACATCCTCTCACTCAAATCAGGGCCTAACCTAGTGCTTACAAAGATACTGAAATTTAGAAACTACTAGAACTGTCTGTTTATGGATGAGTCATTTATAGAGATTTAGTCCTTCGTTAATTTCAACTCACAGGATGCCTTTTGGTTAGGGAGGTGGAAGGAACAATAGGAACGGCATTGTGAGGTAGCAAATCAAGTTGCCATTTGCAGTGTTGGCACCCAATATGAGAGCCAATTCAAGTCCTGGATGCTTTACTTCGAATCCAACTCCCTGCTAATGGGCCTGAAAAAACTGAAAGAAGATAGCCCAAAACCTTTAGGCCTTTGTAACCATGTGAGAAAACCTGAAGAAATCCTGGCTCCTGGCTTTGGCTTGACCCAACCCTGGCTGTCACAGCCATTTGGAAAGTGAATCAGCAAATGGAGTAGCAGGCTCTCTCTCTTGCTTTCTATTATGTCTTTCAAATAAAATTTTTCTTTAAAAAAAAAAGAGCCAACAATGTAAAGACTAGTTGTAACAGGTAGTTTTAGTAGAGCAACTTTTAAAGCATCTATCATATCTTAATTTTCACAAATTACAAGCTGTGTACAAGTATTTCTTTTTCAAAATAATTTTTTGCAATTATGGATAAACAAAAGGAGTGGAACTTTTCTAATTCAATGTTTATTTCTGATGCATCTATGATGATCTGCATTAGAAAGTAATAAATCTTC